TCTTTAGCATTATCATTATATATTGGATTGGCCAAAAAGTCGGTTACATTTTTTCCATAAAATAAAATACATTTTTCATTTTTACCAATAACTTCACTGATTGGGATATTTTGATTGTGTCAGCTATTTCCTGCTATTGGGTACTAGGGAGTAGAAGCCAGGGGTGCTGCTAAACATCTTCTAATGCATAAGACAACCCCACAACAAAGAATTATTTGACCAAAATATCAATAGTACCAAGAAACTTTGCAAACCACTTTTGACACTTTTGATCAGTCACAGCACCTTCTCCATACACTGCATAAAATCTTTTTTCACACTTCAGTTGCATTTTTATATTTTATGAAATAATATGCCAAAATATTGTATATCTTCTTCCATCTTCAATATTAAAATAGCTGCACAAAAATTCACCAATTTTGATGCTTTTGTTTTAAATGCACACTAATATGAAAGTTGTCACAATACAATCTAACAAAAATGTTTCAAATGAAGTCAAAGACAACTAAGCACTACTAGAGGCATCATACAGAAAGAAACCTAACAGACCTTTTGGCCAACCCAATACCTGCACAATTAAATAAAATTAAACAATAACTGACTTTCAATTATTTGTACAATCAGTACTAATAGAAACATTTTAGTTAACAAAAGGAGACCATTTACTGAAGATTAAAAAAGAAGTTTCTTGTTAGTTGTGGCCTAATGATCACAGATAATCATTTTATGTATTTGAAAGTACAAGTTCTCCTAATCCCAAAACAATACTAAAAAGCAGTGTTTTCTAAATACAACTCACAAATCTCAATTTAGTTAGCTACTGGTACATTAAAGAATATGGCTCCAGGACTGTTTAAGAAAAAACACATACAATTAAGAATTTATAAATTTAATCAGTCTCCTGAAACTGACAGTTTGCGATGTTTAAATCCAGTAAGTGGCAATGTGGTAAAGGTCACAATGCTCCTGACATTGTTTTCTGAATGTCAAAGTTAAACAGTGGTTGTGGTCAGTGAATTCAAAGAACTAGGGGCAAGCCCAGCCTCAGATGGAGGCTTTTGCTCTTACATTTTGTTGTAAATGCTGAAGGAACACAAAGGAGCCTGCCACCCAAGAGCAGCCATTTGCAAGGAAAGCTGGGCTTGCTCACTGCAGGGGGAGAGTGAGGAACATTGAAGTCGTCTGTCTGGATACTGGTCCACCTGATCTTCTGGCTTACAGACAGAATCTGTTTGCCCTAGCTTTCCAAATGGCCGTTTCTTTCATTTAATGTACTAATCCACAAAACACAGGGATTAGATTTGGGGGACAGTAGAGATTGAAAAGCTAAAAAATGTTTAGTTCTGCTGTTAGTAAAGCTACAAGTACTAATATAATCCTATTGAATATATATTAGCATCAAATACAAAATAATGGCCAGAAAGTTACTGAATGAATTATTTTAAGAAGGAGGCAGAACACTGCACACATTATTTTAGTGATTTTTTTCACCAGTGAGATACCTTGAGAAGTATGGCAGTGCATATGGACATAATACTTAAATTTCCTTTATGTCTAAATCTTAAAAATATTTTATAAATAAAATGTTAAGAAAAGAAATGCAAACTGACTGCTGAAGACATGAAAGCGAGTAGGTCATACTCACTTTATTTCCCTTTATTAAAGGGAAACGAGAGACATAGACCTTAAGTGTAATTTTGTGAAATACATCTTGTGAGAATTTTATTTTATTAATGCTTCAAAACAGCACCATTGTCATGACTTCATTATTTGGGCTACATTGAGTCAGAGACTGTTGTAGCACACAAGCATTTACTCTTTGACCTCCCCTGGACTTATGACGCAAAGAAAATGCTGAACTTTTACATGGGAGGCTATAATTTCATATAATGAACAGTCAGTAAGCACCAGCCACATATTCTTTTAGCTAGCTATCTTTCTTAAGGGCTTGATTGTGGAGAGCTGAAACATACTTTTAAAAGAGGTCTGGGAGGGGAGGGAGGATTGTCAAGCCAAGCATGATTTTTTAATAAGTGTTACCAAATACTAATTGGAAGCAAATGAGATTATCCATATAGAAAACATATCCCCAAACAAACCTATCCTTTGGCAGAAATGTCACTATGCTATGAAATTACAGAAGCTTAAACAAGTAACATTTGTTGGGATGAAATTTACTGACAAATTGTTTCTAAGCCATCTTCTTCCTTATTATCAGATCTCTTCAGTCAATGTGCTTTATTCAAATCCTAAATCTTGTAGGTCACAGAAATAACTTTTCTCTTTGCGTTTTCTTGGCAAATCATTGACAAATGAAAGAAAATGTTTTTAAACACTGACTTTGCTTGAGGCTGCAAGTTGCCTTTGTACCACAAGTAGGTAGCTTTCCTAAAATGTTTTTTCAAAGAAACCAAAAAGTACAAAAACAAGGTAAATAACTCCACAAGGCAATAAGACACTCAGAGCAGACCTAGCTTAAAATATAACTCATTTACTCACACTAAACTTTTCAACCAGAAAATACTGTCCCTTTAAGAAAATAGGAAAAAATAAAACATTCTTTGAATAATCTGGAAAACTGAATAATTACATCTTTATATTTAGCACTTCATATATCTGTTTTTATAATACAAATCCTAAAAGTATCTTTTTGTGGTCATGAAGCTGAGTACACTACATCAAAGGTAAAGTTTATTTTTGAGATTCCCAGAAACTTTTGAGATTAAAAAGGTACACCCATGAAGAAAAGTTAAGTGTGTGGCTTTAAAGATATGAGACTAAAAGTTTGATGTTCTCAGGATTATAAATTAGAACCCAAACTTCACACAAATGAACACTGAAACTAAAAAAGGGTAGTTTAAAGTACAATCACCTTGAGAAAGCCATCTTTCCTGAAACTGCACTTTTCACATGTGATTGTGGTAATGAGTTCTTGTTTATCCAGAGAATCCTTTTAAAAAGAGAATTGTTCAATGGTTGGATAATCAAGTTTGGTCTGAAGGAAATCCAATATGCAAATACTTATAGTGTGCTCTTTCACAAACAGTCACCCTTGCCAGTTTGAAAAACTGAAAATCAACAAAAGAACAGTGTAAGTATACTTGACCTTATTGCCTAATGTCTATCAAGACTGCCACGGCTGGTCGATTTCAAATTTGTGAAACTGACACTTAAAAATGTATAGAGCATCTTCAGTCCAGGTCCCTCGAGTGCTGACTAAACTGCAGTCACAGCCTCGGATTCTCCTTCCAGACTAACTTGCACAGCACTTACACAGTCAGCTTCATCACACCATCAATCTATGACTGCACTTCCCTTAAAGTAATTCTGCTTCATTTATCTTTTAACCCTACATTATGCAAATAGCTTTCTTTATCAGTCCAATAAAGAAAAGTTATTAATGCTCCCACTTGTTTATCCTTGACATACACTGAGAAACTGGGATCATATATGAACTTGCACAAATACCCCTTCTATGTTTCACATTCTATATGAAAATTCACCCTTACACCAGCATAGTTTTCAGGAAGTTCTAAACAAGGTTTTTGAAAAACCCTTCAGTCAATGTCTATGACTAAAAACAGAGCATGAATTAATAGGCTTAAAAAAGATAAAAACTTATGGAACTGCCCACTTGATTTTTTTTAATGTATCTCTAGGAAGGGTTTGCATATGCCATACAAGGGTATCTCCTGGACATAAGAACAGTTATACAGGCCCCTAGTGGCTTACCAAATAGCAGCAGATGAGGGGATTCCAATTCTTAGTTCTCGACTTTGAGATATGCTGGCTTTAAATGGGAATGTCAATCTTAAAAGGCAAATCAAATCTTCGCACTTAATACTCTAAGCAGTTTTACTTTCATGGTTATTTACTGAAACACATACATATTAAAACAGATCACGGTATTTCATTACTTTAATAACTACAACTGCACTGGTCCAAGAAAAATTTGTGTTACATAACCCCACAAAAATATTTAATTAATCCACCTCTTTACATGTCATTACAAAAGTAATATATTACTCATATATACTAAAATATATTCAAGAAACACTTCTTTTTGAATCCTATTCCGCTTATACTATAGTAGTGAGGGCTTTAAGACTAGATGATTACTACTACTATGTAAAGCATTCACTATTTAAATGAAATATGGATATAATCTGAATGCCACTTTTATAATGGCATAAATTGAAAGGTATTTTCCAACAACAGCCAGTGATAAACCTCACACTGGAGTGCACCTATTTTAAGAGATCTACAATTAATAACACACCATAATTCTCATCCCTTTGCTGTCTTCCTTTACAAAAGAAAATTCTAGGAAGGCACATTTACAGCTTCAAGCAATTTTTAACTGGACACAATCTGACAGCTGAATTCATGAAACTGACCAGCTTGTCAATTTCACACTTTGAAAGTACTATAATAGCTGATAGCATGAGGGTGAATTTAAGAAATCTGTCACAGAATTGCTAGCTCTGTTGAAAAGCAAAGAACAGCACATAATTACGGGAGGTGGGAGGTAAGGAAATTTTCTTTCTATTGTCCATTTAGGATGTTTAGTTCAAGAATTCAGACATCTACCACTGATATTTTTTCTCATGTTATATCAATGAAATCATATCTATCTGCAGCATATAACAGGATGTTTTCAAAATTAAGTAGAATACTAAATATAGTCCTGCATATCCTCATATTACCAACATAACACTCTTTAAGTTAGTATCATCTAAATATTCCTTTAAATCAGGATATTTCAAGTCTTGGTACATCACCCTAATTTTACACAAGTTCCATGGTGGGTGTGTACACTTTGAAACACAGATAGAAGAGCCAAAATGGTCAGAAGTATCAATGGGTGGACTAACTCGCCATGTGCCTGCTACAGGGTGGTTGAAAAGAACAAACCAGAGGGGAAGGTCCGGGTTTGTAGATACGGTAGTCTGGCAAATCAGTCTCCTCACAAGCAGTTACTAGTCTCTGAGAGTCTCAAAATGTATGTGCTACGTACACTCTGTCAAGTTGTGGCACTGTGTCTGTGGGCATGTAAAAGGAAAAAAAAAAACTTTAAGAAAAAATACAGGGGAGAGGTCCCTCAGGAATCCTCCTGGATACCTAAGGCACAAAGTATAGATTGGTCTCCAGGATCACTTGAAGAATTTCAGAAAACAGAGGAGGCATTTAGCAAGTCCTGTACTGGGAGACTAGCTGAAACAATACAAGTGGATCGTCATAGCCAGGGTTTGGGAGAATTCAACTACTATTCAGAACCCTGGAACACCCAATTAATGAAAGCCAAGCTCACACTTAGTGTTCAAGATTTTTTGTTTAAGCATAAGAAAACTTCATTTGTCAATGCTTCTAAGGAAAATCAACCTCGCAGACAAACAATACAAGTTTTCTACATGCCTATAAAATAGCTACAGTAAATCGATAGAAAAGCAAAGAACCTGTCTGTGGCTTTTTTTTTACATTGTTTTCCTCCAACTTGGACTTTTTATTATAAAGTATGCATTCCTTCCCCTATGGAATAGTGTGTAAGCACAGCAGATTCCCGTAGCAGAACAAGGAGCTTTGATTCTGCTACAGAAAGGTCTCCAAAACAATCCCCCTCCTGTATGGCTGCCACGCAGACTTTGATTCCTATTTCTTCTTCTCCCCATTAGTTCAAGGAAAAGAAAGAAAAACAAATTGCCCCCTCATCTTAACCAGCCCTCCTTAAAACAGTCATCATTGCAACGTAATACATATGCAGTGGCAGAATTCCTGGGTAGGGTCGGAATTGCCCCACCACTCCACCATTTCCCCAATACTACGCCCACCCCATGAGGAGAGAGCGGGGGCGCACAAATGCACCCAAACACTTTCAGTCTCCAGAATTGCCACTCTCCCTGGTCTGAGGTTTTAAGCGAGAAGCTAACCGTGTAGGGGAGGACCTCTGCCCAAGGAGGTTCAGAAGAGCAAACTGTGCGCGCTCCGGTGCCAGGGCGCTGGGCTTACAGGCAAGAGTGTGTAGCTCTGCGGGGAGACGCGGGGGCAGCCGGAGCTGGGCTCAGGGCAAGCCCCGGGAGCAAAATGGGGAGGACACACAGGGAGGAACGGGTCAGCTCGCAGGACTCACCTGGTCATGTTGGCTCCGGGCAGCTGCCACCGTCTTCCGAGCAGCCACCAGTACTTTACTCCAGCGCCTTTGCGCCCCGCCACGGCCGTACAGCCCGCGCCTGCCCAAGGCACCGCCTCCGGTGCCCAATTTAATCCTGAGGAGCAGCGGCTGCTGCCGGGAGCCCCCTTATTCGCTGTCGCCTCCCGGCCCTCGTGTGGCCAGCCCAGTCCAGAGCGAGGAAGTGGTGGAGAGTCAGCGAGTGAGTCCGAAAATCCCGAAATCCAGCATCCAAAGGAGCGCGTCCCCCCGCCCTCCCTCCACCCCTACTCCTTTCTCCTCGCCTCCGCCTCCTCTTCCCGGGCCGTCCTCCTGGCCCTTTGGAGCCCTCGGCTTCCGCGGCGTTTTCTCCTCCTCTTGCTCCTCCCGCTCGCCCTGTGCTCGCTTCTCGGCTGCCGCTGTGTGTCTCCTCTCCCTCCTCCTGCTGTTCCTCCTCCTCCCGCTCCTCGAAGCTCCACCGCTCTCGGCTGGGGGGTCCGGGGCAGCGTGTCCTCTCCTCCCTCAGCCTCTCGTTTGCTTCTTCGTGCTGCTGCTTCTTTTAAAGAGGAGTCTTTGGCCGCAAATAGCAACTCCGCTGCCCCCCTCAGCGCCTTCCGCCCCTTCTCTTCTTCCCCCCAAAAGTGAGGCGCAACCCAGAGGTAACCAGAAACTGAGGCTGGCAGAGGGTGGGGAGGGGATGAGGGGAGAGGGGGTGAGGCGACGCCTGCAGACCCGCCTGAAGGGAGTCAAGGGCCAGGAGGTGGGATGGCCAGTCCAGCCCTGTTCTTGGACCTGGCATGAACCTGGTGGTTATGGTTGGAGGCCAGGTGGTTTGTTGGGGAAATTAAATGAAAAAGCTTAGTAAAGTGATTGGAAAAGCTCCTCTCTTTGTTTCCTTTCCTAAAATCCTTCTAACGTGCTGGGGATCCCACTGAATCGTGGTGCCCCAGCTCTGGAGGACTGTGTGTGCGCTTAGCAAGCTAGAGAGTGTGCTGTGTGGGTGCTCCGCCTGGACACGGGCAGAGCCAGGCCCGCTGCACCGGCCTGCGAATCCCGGGTCTTCTTAGTCTGGACCACTGACCCAATGAAAGGGCCAGAAATCTGGACGAAGGAGGGACAGGCGGACTGGGCAAAGAAGGCACACCCCGCCCCTCCTCCTCTACGTTTCCCTCTCCTCTCTTCTTTCTCTTTCTCTCTCTCTTCTCTCTCTGTCTCTCTTCTCTCTTCTCTCTTCTCTCTCTCTCTCTCTCTCTCTCTCTCTCTCTCTCTCTCTCTCTCTCTCTCTCTCTCTCTCTCTCTCTCTCTCTCTCTCTCTCTCTCTCTCTCTCTCTCTCTCTCTTTCTCGGGGAGGGGGCGGGGTGACGTCACTCCCCAACATCCATCCACCAGTCCAGAAAAGACCCTCTTTAACAAATTCACTCATCTCCTTGGAGATGCACACCCGGGCGCTTCCTGCTCTGCGTCCTGGCACATGGCAGGAAAAAAATGCTGGTCGCGCCCCCTTTCAAGCAGTTGTAATAATAAAGGAGCGCGCCTTGATGAGACAGTTTGTGTCCGCCTCACTTCACCTTGGAAGTCTCATTCAGGATGCTTGTGGGATCTACTTTGGAGTCAAGAGAGTAAGAAAGAGAGGTATGGAATCAATCTTAAGGTAATACTCTTGCTTTTCCTCCATGCAACTTGCTTTTCTGATCTTGGAAATGCAGTGATCCCTGGCTTTTCTGAAGGACACCGTGAAACCAACCGTCTCCCTAGACAGGCACCCAGTTGTTGGGCCACACAAGCGTCATCCATAGAATGCTTTATCCTCAGAACACACTGTGTGGATTGTTAGCTAAGAGGAAAATTTTAACCTTCACTCCTCCTGGGACCTCTAGCATGTGTACAAAGTTAGAAGGTAGCTGGAAGCCACCATTGGCAATTTACTGGCCTACCAAAATTTTATTCTAAATTTGGTCAGAAAGGTTAAATAAAGTAATGGCAGCGCCTCCAGCCACTTTCCTTGCTTATTCTGTGTTCAGGCCAGTTCATACACACATTACTTATTCCAACAGGCTGGGGGATGTGTTTGAGAGGGCAAAGGTCAGCAGACTGCCTTAGATTCAGCCTAATGACCCCCTATCCTGACTGTCGTTTCAGGCTGCCCATTTGTTTCCACCATCTGCATGCTGTGCGCCTGAGAGGCACTGAAGAATTGTTCAGTAATCCTCTGCCCGCTCTGTGCCCCAAAGACAAGTCACATAGGTTTGAAAGGTGTCTTGCTAAATGAAGTTTAGTTTTCCATCAATTTGAGGCAAGGTGGGGAAGATCACCTTGGCATGACTCTTCCTTGGTCTGTGTGTGTGTGTGTGTGTGTGTGTGTTTATGGTTAGCCTTACAGTGAAAATCAAGAAATCTATGTTTATGCAAGATTCCAAAGCCAGGTTTACCCTCCAGACTTTTTCATGACACGAAGAACTACATGATTGAACAGGTACACTGGACACCTGCCCCCTGTGCCCTACAGATGGATCCAGAAATCTGAGCATCCACACAGGGGATTCTCACTCAAGGTGTAAACTCCCATTTGGCTTTCTCATTGCCATGTCTTCCCCCATAAACTGATGAGTCTTATTTTCCTCTTGCAAAGTTGGATAATAGAGGAACAAACAAAAGCTTTTAAAACACTAGTATCCCTCTGCTGTTGTTTTTGGTAGACAGGCACACATACCTCTGCCTAATTTAAGAAGATCTGACCAAATTTGACTTTATTTTAAAAGATCCTAGCAGGGACATCTGACTGCTCTCTGGGAGCATAGTCAAGGAACTATCAATGTGCCTCACTGACAGCAGGTGAAACTAGCTAGAGAACTTAGTGATCATCTTTACTAAGGTGAGCAACAAGAAGGTGGAAAATAAATCAGAGGACACAGAGGACAGTGCAAGTAAATGACACAAGCCCAAAGACCCAATTTTCCTGATACCATGAGGTCCTAGATGGTTCTGCCCCACTACAAGAAAACATTTAGGAGAAGGAATTGGGGTGGGGCAAGGTGGCTAGAGAGGCTGGGCTGTTATTGTGCAGAAGAGGGTTATGCTACTGAAGAAGAGGAGATAGGGCAAACAGAGGAGCTGAACATTCTCCGCACCTCTGAGCAGAGGGGGCAGTGAGGCTGCAGCCCAATGTACCTATATTAACACTCTAATGCAGAACTGGTTTGTAACAAAACAGCATCCTGTGGCCTCAAATATACCCCTGAGTTATACCATTTGGAGATTTAAAGTCAAATAATATCAGAAGTGTGCTAGTCATCTGTTGACATCACTTCATTTTACATCTTAGTTACTGAGAAATTAAGGTAACCCAAAATTTGATGATAGAAGCAGAACAAAACATCGATATCATGACCCACTGTCCCTCTCCCCCTAACTCTCTTCCAGTTCTAGATCAAAATATTGGTTTCTTTTCAGTTTATCAATGAGCAATAAATGCAGGACATTTTAAGACTATAAATACTTACATGAAAGAAAATAAATCGGACTAGACATTCTTTCAGTTGCTTTCCAGCTCTAACATTCTGTGATGAATAGTACACCGGAGCTTTGCTACAGCACAACCCCCTCTAGTGCATAATTCAGCATATGATGAGTATGAGTCTACTCTGGACCCCATCCAAGAGAGTTAGTTCCTAGAAGTACTCAGAAGATTTTATTCCGTCTATCAGGAAACATCCTAAAAAAGACTGAAAATAATCATAATGACAATAATAGTAATCATGTGTTATGCTTGTATTATGTACTAAACATCATGCTGCTCCAATGTGTTCAAAAGGCACCTTTGGTGGATCAGGAATCTAGTGGGTCATGACTAGTCTTTTCAGCAAAAGAAATGAAAGCAGGAAGGGAAAGAAAGAAGAGTGTCTTCTATGGACTAAGCATTGGTTGATGAAACATGTTTCAATTGTGTGATTAGTGATTAAAGGGAAAGTTTCACAGTCACTGACTTACCTCCAATCTTAACAACTGCCCAGCTGCCCAAGTATTATTAGACCCATTGCATAAGTAAGGAAACAGGAACAGAGGGAATAAGTTATTTCTGCAAGCTGACATAACTATTAAGTGGCCAAGCTAGAATTTTGCACCTACATCTGTTTAACTTCAAATCTTGCATTTTTACCTTTATTCTGGTTATGAATTATTAACCAAGCCATTGAATAACTGTTGCTGATCACATTTTCTTTCAGAGGGCTACAGTGGTTTGTATTAAATCCAGTTCAAATAGAAAAACACAACACAGGTTCAAGCAACATGTTCTGAAGGCAGTGAACAGTTTAATAAGGGTCAGAAATGAATGTCTGAGACCTCTGCTACAGGTGCTAATATGATTCACTAATTTGTTGGTAAGTGCACAAGTAGAATAATAATTAACAGATAATTATACTCAAATAACAAATATCAATCTCTATAGGTGCTATCATGTTTTCTTGAAAAAGTTTTTTTAATTTTAATTCATACAGCAGTTCTCAGTAGCCTACTGCTTGTCCCAACACAGAACTGGTACATGACAAAGATTTAAAAAAAATTGTGTGATTCAATTTTATATATATATATATATATATATATATATATATATAGAGAGAGAGAGAGAGAGAGAGAGAGAGAGAGAGAGAGAGAACAGTCCCTAAACTAAACAATATTTTAACTTATTTGGGAATACAAGATGTACACATATAAACTAATCATTCTACACTATAATCCCTCCTACATTGTAAAGAAGGAAGCCAATAACTTGGGCCCCATGCTAATTTTTTGATTCAGTCCTATAAATTCTACCAGTAACATGGCAAGTTTAAGTGCTATTTTTCCTATTCTTCAGATTTGAAAGCTCAAACACAGGACTGAAAGGTGATCAAAATTGTCTAATCCTGGTCTTTCTGATTCCACTACCTAAAGTCTCTTCACAAACAAGTGGGTTTCTAGTAGAAAAGTGGATGGTTACAGATTTTGAGACACACTATGTAAACATGTGCACTTTTCTTCATTTAAAAGAAGTGCACTTTCTTTTTCTACAGGGTAGCATTTCTTGTTGCTGTCAGACAGCACTGTTGTCTTAAAGAAAAAAATCCACATCTCCCTCTAAAATGGGGCCTGGAAAAGCCAAGCTCTGTACCCTGAGTGTTCAGTTCGGCTGCTGCATCTCACCCTCACCTGCAGTGTGTAGAGGACGTTATGGAACGGTGCTATTTTCCATTGGCTCTGCTACTGGAGATTACAGCATGTGACTGTGACAAATGGATATTCCCATTAAATTCTTTAGTAGAGTGGGACATTCCATTAACCATTGGCACTATCCCAACCAAGTGAAACATTGGGTCATTTTTTTTCTTACGAGCAAAAAGTAAGGGAGAAAACAAAGGATATACTCTAATTACCTTTCCTATTTTTTTTGTTGCATGCATTATGCTAGCCGTATATTACAATTATTTATAATTAATATATGACAAGCTGTCAGCTAAAATTTAACAGGCGATTTTTCAAGAAGTCCCATTAATTCATACATTAAGCAGTGGGTTTTCAACACTTCCTAACAATAAAAGTGTTTTTTGGTTTTGCTGTTTTAAATGCATTGCATTTCAGTACTCAGAGGCCCCTATCTTTATAGATTTGCAGCATCTTTTAAAAATATAAGGATTTCTAACAGAAATGGGTACTTTGTTAGTGATATAAGGAATAAGCACATTTTTGTCACTTTAACCTTTAGATGCTAATGTTTTTACTGAGGAAACTAATTTCCTAGTGTTTATTTTTGAGTTTTAAACTTTGATGATTTTTTATACATTTTTTAAATGATGTCTTTGGTGAAAAGGCAAAGCTGAATGGAGAGGAAAGTAATTGCAGTTACTTATGTCCCATTTACTCTTTGTACCTTACCCTAGAGAATTTTGAAGTGAATGAATATTTTAAAATACAGAAAAAGATTAAGAAGTCACCAGAAAGCTAGTAATTAATCACTCAATAGAAGGGAAATCTATGGAGACCAAAAACTGATGAAGCAACCTCTGTTTTGCTGAATGGCACAAGAACAGAGACAGGATGGAAATGAAGCACAGATAGTTCTTGAGAGGGATACCAAGATCCTTTAGTGGGAAAAAGCATGCTTTCAATACCTATAGAATGTCAGTGTCATGGGACATAACCAGAAACGAAGTTAAAACTCCTATTTTATTATTGGTTCCATGGCCAACCAAAGTTTGCACAGTAGTTCCCCTCCTATCCATAAGGATACATCCCAAGACCCTCAGTAGATGCCTGAAACCACAGATAATACTGAACCCTGTATATCCTATGTTTTTTTTATATATATGTCCATATATTTTCCCTTCGAGGAAGCCTTTTATAGCTTTCTTTTGGCATATCCAAATTGCCAGCGTGACTACTGTAGAGCTTTGGGGCTATTATTAAGGGGTCACTGTGAACACAAGCACTGCGATACTAACACAGTTGACCTGATGAGCAAGATGGATACATGACTAACAAACGGCAGGGCTCTACAGAGTGGACATGCTGGACAAAGGGATGAATCCCATCCCAGGCAGGTCAGAGCAAGAAGGTGCAAGATTTCATCATGATACTCACAATTGTACATAAATTTATACATTGCTTATTTCTGAAATTTTTATTTAATATTTTTAGACTGGAGATGACTGTGGGTAATGGAAACTATGGAAAGCAAAACTGTGAATTAGGAAGAACTACTAAATCATTTAAGAGAATGATAGAAAGGTACAGCGTTGCTTATAATTTCCTTTGTATGGGGCTGGCTCTTATCTTTCAAGAAAGACTAGGACGTGCTGCAGGATGTTAATGATGCACAATTGACTACTGTAGAGGGTGCCGAGTCTCCGTAATGAGAGAGTGTGCTTCAAGATTCAATAGTTAGGAAGAGAGAAAAGGGGAAAAAAACAGAAAGAAGGAAAACAAAGGCAGGACAAAAAGCTAGTAAGACATCTGTGTCTACCAACCAAGTTCTGTTTTCACATTTTTAGCAAGAAAGTCATACAGAGTCACGAAATCATTTTTAAAGGGTCTTTCAAATAGGGTTTCAGAAAATGATTTTTAGAAACTCACTCAGAAGCAAAATGCTAAGAAAATGAGTTGATTTTCATGTAACAGGGAGTATATCTCTTCACAAAGGTTGGGGATTATGAATGACCAGAGACATACAGGTCCTTGTATCCCAGACCAGGATCTCAGTTACAAGACCTTGGCCTGCCTCCCACAGGCAGCGATGTCTCCA